GATGGGCTTGGAGCATCCTGGGCTGGTGGGAGGTGTCCCTGCCCGTGGCAGGGGGGCAAAATGAGATGAGCTTTAAGGTCCTTTCCAACCCAAACTGTTCCATGATTCCCTGTCTATACATACAGATATGGATAACATCCCACAGCCACCCACTGAGATCAGTGCCCATTCTCACACAGGTACAAAGCCCACCCCACATGCAGCGATGCCAGGCTGGAAAGCCACCAGCATCCCCTCAAACTGCCCCCACCCAAGGTAGCTGGGCCTGCCCTGCCCCAGGAGCAATCCCTGCTGCACTCACAGGGGCTCCGTGCACTCCTGCAGGTTGCACATCCTGCGGATGGGCTTTGGCTTTTTGCTGCCTTCGCAGAAGCTGCGATGAACCATCTTGTTGTCGCTCTTCCTGCGGCACCCGTACTTGGTGTACTGGTACCCTGTGGAAATGTGTCAGAGAAATCAGGAAAAACAGGTCCCTGCGAGAGTGGTTGGCTTAAACACAAGTTTTCTGGCCTGTTAGGTGGTTTTACAGGACAGGTGTTTTGGGATTTGCATTCCCCATTCTCTGCCTAAGAGCCATGGACACACCGTGTGTACCGGGAACACTCAGGAGCGTCACTGTCTGACTTTGGGGGTTGAATTCAAACAGCCAAAAAGGCCTTTTTCTTCCTAGGCTGGAAGTGTGACACTTTGGAACAATCAGGCACTTGAGGGCCTGGGCCACAAAATAACAAACTGCTTCTAAAAGACAGAGGCCAAGATTGCTAAATCATTTCCTTCCCCAACTTTCCTCCCTTGCTAACTTTCCATTTGTTACAGAAGGTGCCCCATCCCTGCTCACCTCCTCCACAGGGTTTGGAGCACTGGGACCAGCTCTTCAATGCCCACTCGAAGGTGTCAGAGTCCTCCCTCAGCACATTGTTGCTGTGGATGGTTGGCACTGAATCCTCATGGATGATGTATCTGTAAGTCAGGCTGGACCTGGTGTCGTTCTCCCGAGGAATGATCTGTGAATAATCAGACATAAACCCAGAGCTGGCACTGATTCCTCTGCCAGGCAGAGGCACCAAGGCCTGGCTCTGGGTGATCCTTCAGGTCCCTCCCAGCCCAAACCCACCAGCACCACCACCGCGTCGTGCAGGGGCCCAGCCGTGTGCAGCGTCTCGATGTCGTCCTCGATGCTGTACTCCCACTGCACGCCCAGGTCGATGAAGGATCTGGATCTGGCCACCTCCCCCTTCCCATTCAGGATGTAGTGCCCTGTAGCCTGGTTCTTGATTGCTAGAAGGAGTGAGAGCAGATGGTGGTGCCTCCATGGTGCCTCTGCCGCAGCGACAGCGATGGGGGCGGCGCAGGGAGGGGATTTCCATCAGGTGATGAAAATTACAGATTGTCATCACATTTTAGTCTCCTTGGAGAACACAGGAGTGTTCCAGATGCCAAAATCAGTAAGCAAATGGCTGAGGCACTGGAAGCCTGGGGAACTGCCTTGGGTTTGGGTTCCTGCAGCACACCTCGATGGCCAGGGTAGGATGGGGATAATGATGATGACGATGATGATCCAATTAGAAGCCAAAATGTTACAAATCTTAAAGATGGACTCTCATTTTTAATTCCATACAATTTTTCCCTTAAGAGTAATTAAAGATGGTGAATTTGATTCACCCTGGCAGTGCCTCTTCGTATGTGAGTGATGACAATCCTTGCTCCATGCAATTTTGGGTCAGTTTAGTATTTTGGAGAATCTGAAGAAGTAAATGTCTGTTTGCTGAGCTGCAGGACTTCAGAACTCAGCCCTCAACATGCAATGCCTACATTTACTCTTCAGAACTCTTCAGGTTCTCTGGCATGAGCACCCCGTGCTTCTCCTGCAGCTTCAACGCAACCTGAGCAGAGAAACACTTACCAAGAAAGTGAGGGGAGGCCTCGTCTTCTTGGATAAAGACATGTCGAGCCCCCGCAGGGATATCAAACATCTTAAGGTAGCCTTTGGCACGTGCAGGGGCAGTGGAGGCAGCAGGGATGGAAAGAGAAAGGAACAGCCATGGTCAGGAGGGCAGGGCAGGCCCAGCTCTGCTTGCAGGAGAGGACATCCACGAGCAACCAGGGAGACACACAGCCAGTGGGTTTGTAACAGGTGGGACAGGCCCTCCCTGGGCTCTTCCCCTCCAGGGAGAGAAGAGACACCAGTTACAGCTCCATTGGCCACTGGTCAGCTGGGATCAGTTTAATGCTCCAGGCTGGATCTATCAACAACTCAGGCAAAGAGATGTTTCCTGTGCTCCTTGGCACAGGAAGGCACAAACACGAGTCTTCCTTGCTATTTTTCCCAACTCATTCCTCAGCCAGGCTGTTGGGTTGGAGTTTACATCTGCCCTGTCAGATGGTCATGTCTGAAGTGTGTGGGATTTCCATATTCCATATTCCTGTTGCTTCCTCTTTAACAACTGCAGATTCAGTTGTGTGGAATCACTGGATTCTGGGACAAAGGAAGGCACTGGCAGTGTGGCATACCACAGCTCCTGTGAAAACCCAAGTGAAGGGACAGAAGAGCTGGGAATAGGGAAAATTATGGTCCTGGCTGGCCAGTGCCAACAGCATTTCCAGTCTCTCCTTCCACTGCCTTTGGAGCACAGGGAACATCAGGCTTTGGCCTGGGTTGGCATTACCTGTCCGTGTCTGTGGGGAGATGGGAACTGCACGGGAACTCTCCCATTCCCATGGATGCCTCTCTCCCTACAAGCCCTCACACTCACCCAGTGTGTTTTTAGCCTCCTTTGTCCCAGAGAGGAAAACACTGCGAGCTCCTTTGGGCAAGGGAAAGGCTCCTCTGCTTTTCCCTTAAACAGAACACCTGGAGTTAGTGCCCTGGGAGCACAGTTGGTCATTGGAAGTCAGACTGGTGACATTCCAGGGGGGATTTTAAATTGGACACTTGCACATTTCATTTTCCAGAAACTCGAATTCTTTTTGACACCTCTTGCTTAAATATTTTCCAGTTGGAAGAGCTCAATTAGCCTTTTTAAATACCAGATTGTCCAAGTTGAAGAGAATCAATCACCGTTCCCTAAAGATCTCCATCCCTTCCATAACCATCTACAACCAGAGGCCGATGGGCAGCAGACTGCCCTAACAGGCTGAGTTGGAGCTCAAGGGATGTTGTTAAGCCCATTATTCTGGCATTATCCCATGCCCATCAGTGTGCCAGAAACCCATTCCACTGCAGCAGATGTTATTCCTACCGAGTTTTTTGGGAGTGCGGGTGAAGGTTCCCTTCACCGTCCGGCAGTGGGAGTCGTCCCCACCACAGACTCCACACTGATCCTCGGCCTTGGTGGAGCCTATTTCCTTGTCACAGCCTACTTTCTGCAGAAAAAAGGGAAAGATTGGATATTAGGAGGGAATTTTTCCCTGTGAGGTGCTGAGGCACTGGCACAGGTTGCCCAGAGAAGCTGTGGCTGCTCCATCCCTGAAGTGTTCCAGGCCAGGTTGGATGGGGCCTGGAGCACCTTGGGCTGGTGGGAGGTGTGGGCACAGGCAGGGCATGGCAGGGGGTGGAACTGGATGGGCCTTTAAGGTCCTTTCCAACCCAAAGCAGTCTGGGACACCAGGATACAAAACCATCAGTGACAGAGCATGGAGCATTTTATATGGAACAGATCTGTGCCATTCTCTAACTCCATTTCAATCTCAAGGAATTTTGAGGAACACAATGCCACAAATATGGAACTTGGGGACACCCTGCAAAGTCTCTCTCTCTGCCCTTGTGCTGTTCCCATCAGTTGCCCCCAGAGGGTCCCTGGGCCACTCACCACACATTCCCCACGGACGCAGATGCTGTAGGGATCCTTATAGGAGCAGCGTGTCCCGTCGTGCACCGGCTGCTTCATATGAGCCACGTCCCCAGTTTCCCTGGACTGGCAGTACAGGTGACATCTCTTGGGAGCTGCGGAGCCAGGGGAGAGAAGGAGCTGCATGGATGGACAGCAATCCCGGTGTGCTCTCAGAAATATCCCACTGATGGAGTGAGGAGAGGGGAAGGACACCCCTAAAGAAACCTCTCTCTCTGAAATGGGTTCAGGGTAAAAGCTGCAGGGTTTGGGGCTAGAGACAGGGGCAGAGGGGTGGGACGGAGTGGTTTGGGGAGGAACGAGTGGATTGTGTGCAATTTAGAGAGAAAATAGGTAGTTTGGGGGGAAATGGGGAAGTCTGGGTAGGGCAGAGAGGTTTGGGGGGAAAACCAGGGATTTCTGGCAGAGCTGGTGGGGTTCAGACATAGCATGTGTGGTCAAAAGTGTCAACTTTAGGGACAGTAAGGCAATTTGGATTCATGAAGTTGAATTTCAGGGATAAACTGGGGATTTGGGGGGGGAAATGGGGGATTTGGGGATAAAATTAGGGCAAGACTTGTGGTTTTGGGATATAATTGTGTAATTTTGGAGCAAAAGGGTCAGTTTGAGAGGTAAAGGGACACGTTTGAGGGGAAAATGGGGGTTCAAGGGGGTTCCCAGGCCAAGGGAATGTCTGCACGGCCCCGAGCAGGACGCACGGTCAGGGTGCTCGTAGGGCAGCCAGTGGTGGCGG